TCTTTCCAAAAAAAGAGGCTCGTTTGTGAATTCACATAAATAAAAAAAATCCATTTTTTTGTGGAAGATTGGAAGAAAGAAGAGTAGCCAGGAAAAAAAGAGTACAGAGATCTTTACGGAATGTGTTTACTTTATTCGGGAAATGTCCGTAATCACTGAGGCATAGTAAGTAGGTATGATACGACACACACAGCTGTAATACCGTAAACAGCTCCCCCTCCCCCTCCACACTTACTATCGGCTTCTCAAAAAAAAGCTGAGCAAACAAAATGCATCAATGCTTTTTTCATTGCTTAAAAACATATTTGTTAACAAAAATTTCCCATCTATCAGAGAAAAAATTTAATCCGTCCAGTATGCACCAAACAAAATGCCTTCATTTCCAGAATGTAAGTAGGGCTGAGGAAAAATCACTCACATTCTCTAGCGTAACGGACAATTTTTTCAATAGCTCAACTTTTTCAACACATCAAAAATCCAATGCCAGGAAATCCGAGTGCAGCGGCATCTAATCATTAGACTCATTCCAATCATTTCCTCAAATCCAGGGTGATTCGATGAGAATGCAGCAGCCCTACCACAGCGAATTTTCGAAGCAGTATATCTCTCTCAGCTAAATTAAGACGATAAAAATGATTGATTGACAACTTACTGCCTCACTCACACAATAAAATATTCGGCTTCTAAAGACGAATAAGCAAAATTGAAAAAAATGCATGTGAATTTTTGAGGCCATATTAAAATTTCGCTGATACTTTCTATTTATAAGCGTCCGAATAAATTTACCTAGTCGAACAATTCTAGGCAATTAGTTGATCCTGAGAAAAATACCTACCTTTTTTCCCACATCCTTCCTTCGTCTCTTTAAACCTAGACATGTCCAAGAGATGTACTTTCCACTTTTGTGCTTCTCTACATTAAATTATATTTTTTGATTTAACGTTGAAATAATTTATAAATGAGCATTGTAATTTTGGATTACAAATTTCCAGGCGTTAGAGGCAAGCCATGGCTTAAAGCATATTCTTAAATTTCCAACTGCGCTTAGCGTTTTTTGATGAGTACGCCCTTTACGAATAACCCTATCCGACGTATACAAAATTAAAACATTATTTGAAAAAAATGAGTTCCGTTTTTTGTTTCTGAACCATTAAAGCATTTTCCGAAGAGAAAATGAGTTCGCATTACTGACTTGTTTAGACCCCCAGCAAAACCCACTTAATCTTAGATGCGTACCATAAAGACTACCCAGATGGGCACGTTCTCAAATTAACCATCTTTTTCATTCTTCTTCTTTTCCTTTGAATTCTCCCTTGGATCCTCCCACAAGCAAAACTGTAACAAAAAAAAAATCCAGGAGCCGGTTAATGCGTACAGGACCAATCCTCTGTTTCGGCACATTGCCGAGTCCATTTATATAGAAAACTAGTGACTACTTTTCTGAGATATCGAAGACATATGTTTACTTCCAAGACATCGAAAGCTAGCCACTTTTACCAAAATTTCTAACTCACTATCAGCTCAAGATCTCAGTTGACTGGTAACAGCAGTTCCAGAATATACGTCAGTGCGATCCGAACGAAGGCTGGAAAACGGAAGGGAGGAAACGATAATGGTGGAACGAGCGGAAGGGCATCTTCAGGAAAGCGAATAAATTTAGGTGTTTGAAGCCAGGCTTGCTTTATGCCTTTTTTTACGACCCCTGCTTGAACTGCTCTGCAAACAGATCAGACGTCAACAACACGAGAGGAAGAGGGCGCCCGAGAAGCCCGGCAGTACACCCAAGCATTGAGCAGTGTAAATTAATTGTGCATCTCTAATTCGGAGCGAGAAAAGGGCGCTTAGCGCATCCTGAATCATGCGATGTCCCAAAGACATTGGGCATAGAAACAGGCAATTTTTAATGATTACAACAAGTGGCTGTTCTAGCAAAGATTGAAAAGAACTTGGCAGAGGAAGGCAGAATGTTCTGGAATTTAAATAAATTTGCAGAAAAGTAACCGGACATGGTATCCTTGATCGCAAGGTATTTTTGTGAAAAATTGTAAAAAAAATGCATAAAAATAAATTTTCTCACACTATGCTAATTGTCGAAGCAATTTTTCCCGAAAAAAAATTCAAATTTTTTTTTTGCTCTGATAAAAAACACCAACATTTCGATCAGCAAAACAGCGTGAAGGAAGGTCATATCGTCAATAAAAAAACCCTCATTTTACTGAAAACGACTACCCACTCTAGGAGGCATATTCGGAAAAAGTGGCCCCTGATAAATGCATAAAAAATTACTGCAGCTTCACATTCGGAAAGAGCCAGATAAGTAACGTATCGCCTTGTCAGTGACAAAAATCTCTTTTAAGTCAAATTCAAGATCTTTCAATCCAATGAAAGACAGGTGCACTGAGAAATAGCACGAGTTGCAGCACATACCAAAACCAATCATTCATTGGTAAGGGTTTTGATGGTTCGATTATATGAAAGTTGCTTAGCAAGCTGATGACGGATTTGACTCCATGACACTCGCCAGTATCAGTTTACCATAAAAATAAATGCGTGAATCCTAGAAGCACTGATTGTCCTGGGAGGAATCAGACCCACGATCGCCAGTGCAAGAGTATCGCTTCTTGTCACTGCGTCATGATTGCCAGCAATTACTAAAACTCGGCTCGGCTCGGCACGGCTCGGCTCGGCTGGTGTCTTACACGATCAGC